CCTAGATGGAGAAGATTGAAATGTCTTGATCCTCAATCCATTTGTTGTACCGGTAAGATTGCAGTTACTCACGTTCAGCCCGATTACATCTTTCTCACCAGCATTTTTGCCGAGACTACCGACGCTGATGCCATGGCCTGGGCCGCATAACACCTTAAAGATGGTCAAATTGGTGCAGCCCGGGCCGATGGAGATGCAGTCATCACCGGTGCCGATGACTGAATTGGCAACCTGGATATTGGTCGAGTCGGCGATGTGAATGCCATCGGTGTTGGGGCTATCTTGAGGAGCACTGATCTTGATGGAATCAAAGATAATGTTTCTTGATTCAAAGACATGAATGTGGAAGAACTTGCTGTCGATAGAAGAAATGCTTTTGATGGTTGCGTTCGTGACGAAACTGAACACCAAGTTCTATACGGTAGCATTGTAACGATTGTCAGTGCAATTCAAAGTAAGAACGAAGTAGTGTTAATATCTGCATGGTTAGAGCAAGGAAGACATGGCTACCATACCATGGGTAAGGGTTTGCAATCATTTGTCTTTTTGCATTGGTTGTAAGGCCATGCAGAAGCTCCTTGTCCGTTGAATCTTCCACCACCTGAGATAACCAATCCATTAATGTACTGGAAATGGAGCCAATATTGATTGTAATCTTCGAGATGGGTGGATGCCAGTAGCTGCCCTTTCACTTGCATCACCATTATGCCTTTGCATGGCCCTTTGAAGATTGTTGGACCGAGCAGGTATGCTCCCTCTGGGATCACTATCGTTGCCTTCCCTTGTGCCGCGCATGCCGCACTCCATGCCGTTTCAAAAGCCTACCATGTCCATAATTGTTACAACCGTAAGTATGGAGATGTCATGATGAAAATACAAGAAGTTTCTTATGTTTCTCCTCTGTCCCGCTAAAACTTTTTGTAATTCAAGTTCATGAAGATTTTTAAATTCATAGGAACTACGACAAAAACTATTGGTTGTAGTGAAAACCTATACTAAACATGAAAAGCTACCTTTGTGTTATCGGTTTTGCCATCTCCTGCTGCTCCATAATCCTTCACATTGTAAACACCGTCAGCCATGGCTACCCTCGCACCACTTAAGATGAAGAATAGCAAGCCAATCACAATAATACTTAATTCTAATCCCATTATCAAAAGTCTTCTCCTCGATCGATGTGTTCTCTGAATCAGCGCTTGTGTGTGCATGTCAATAGTTTGAATTAAGAAATCATTTATAGTGAGGGCATGCAAGAGGATTCTTCCCATGTAATCAACAAGTACATATGGTTTAAGCAATTTTTGACAACCAAGGTAACAATCACTTGCTATTTATATATGTTTGTGGTTGAGAAGGATACGTATGATTACTGGTTTGCCATTTCGGAATTCTATTCGTGGCCTATATTCATTTGGAAACAACCTCTTCCATTGGAAGGTGTTAACTCCACGATTTGTGAACTTTGCGAGCGATGTTGGGGTGCTGAATAACCGAAGACTTTAATTTTTATGCTATATGCAAATTGAAAATGAACTATGTATGATGTCAGTGTGTTCGAAATATTTATGTATATGAAATGATGAATTAAGAGAAGAGCACCACAATCTACTTATTAAGTTTTTGGTTTGTGTTTCGAATTTTTGTATGATATACATTTAGAGATCAGATGATTAAATTTAATTTGAATACATTTAAAGTATAAAAAAAGAGAATTTAGCTAATGAGGTTATGGGTTTGATTGAATTTAGATAAATAGCAACAACCGGTAGACATGGATGAAATGTCCGTTAGGTTAAAATTTAAACCATTAGGGACAAATGGAATAGTGGATTGAATCGATGTCTAATTTGATATGTTTTATACGTTATCTTAGAAGCTCACATTCCAGAGAACATAAAGTTGGAACGATTGTTTATTATCATATTAAATCTAACAAAATCATATAACAATTAAAACTAATAATATAGATTTTTTATTATATTTGAACGAATGCAATGTTAAAATAAAGACTAAAACCGAATAACACTACAAAATTAAAATATTTTCATTCGCTAAATGTGAATAATTATTTATTTATGGTTACAAAATTATATATAATTTTATATTTTTTAAATAATAAAATATTTTATAAACTAACAAATAATTGTGTATACTATATACAACTACAAATTGCACGCATATACATTGATTGAAAATAGATATGTTGTTACTTTTATAAATCAACCTGACGAAATCATATATACTTATTTTTTATTACAAATATTCGATAAAAAAATATAGTTCTCAAACCTTTTTTCGTAGAACTTTCTGATAGCACAAATCCATATGAAAATTTAAAATTCTAATTATAATTAAATACAAAACCAAATATCCTTCGTATATTCTATATTTGTCTCTCTTTTTATTGTTTTACTTTTCCTATGTCACCTTCAATGTAAGACCATTTTTTTAATCTATAATTAAATTAATTACATAATATCATGTAAGAT